CTCTATCTTTCGAAAATAAAAAAAAAATATATATATATATATATATATATATATATATATATATATATATATATATATATATATATATATATATTTATATATATATCTCCAGGCCTCCATTGGTTAATAAATTTGATTTCCATTGATGATTTTTGTGTGATTTTGTTGTCAGCACATTCAACTTTGTACACAACAAAGTATTCAATGAGAATATTTCATTCATTCAGATCTAGGATGTGTTATTTGAGTGTTCCCTTTATTTTTTTGAGCAGTGTATATATAAACAAAAAACTAAATTGTTGCTCATTGAAAAATAACATCTTGTTCATTTATTTCACATGTGTGGTGTTTTATGATATTTATTGACTGGCTCAATATGATTGTCATTGCTCTTCAAAAACATATGGATTAAGATTTTAATTTTACAATATATTTATCCCATTTTAAAATATAATAGAAAAAGGTCATGATAAACTGATTCCACTTAAGTAAAAAGGCAAGAGGCATACATACTGTCACCCATATCAATTGCCATCTTTGACATCCCAAAGCTTATATCCCAAGTACCATCTTTGACTGAAAAATAATGAGAATAAGAAACAAGAAGACTGAACATTAAACTAAAGTAAAATATACAGATGTTTTTCAAAGTCATTTCAATTATACTGACCTTAAAGTATATCTCAATCATATGCTAACCCAGAGGTTCCCAAACTGTGGGGGGCGCTGCGCCATTGCAGGGGGGGCACGGGAAGTGGTATGGATGAATGGAGAAAAAAAACAAAACAAGGATGAACGCTGTTCGCACTGTGTCCACTGGAGGGGGAGGGGGGTGTTTGAGTGGATGGAAGAGTATAACAGAGAGTCTCTGAAGACTCTAAGAATCTAGCCCCCCCACCCCTTCGACACACATCGAAGGAAGTCTGTGCCCCGCACCCCACCTCCCACTCACATACATACATCGCTCAACGAGAGAGCCAGAGTCTAACTCTCCCTACTTGTAATCCATAGGGAGGGCACAGAAAATGTTTGGAAACCACTGGGCTAACCCATTTATTTTGAAGAGCCTTAAACATCAGTGTTTCTGCTCACGGCTAGAAATCAAATAAAAATTTTTAGGAATGAGATAAGTTTTATGAACAGCTGCAGTTTTCTCACAAACTACACATTTCATTTAGACTTTGAATCGCGTCATTTTTACTGAAATTCTTCCATTGTTGAGGAATTTCCCCATCACCCTGGAATTTCTTTTTATAGTAATCTTCCAGTTCCATTTGAAAACGCCAGATAAACCATTTCCAGTAGTCCAGCTTAGAGTTGTCAGCTGTAATGCTCCATGAAGCAAATGGTTCTCCTGCAATTGGATACTGTTTAAAAGGAACTGCCTGCTTTGAGTCACGTTTTGGGTGAAAACTTCCATCACTTGCAACTAATGTGGTGCAGAAATCAATGACCAGATCAACTGTTCCTCTTTTATGCCAACCTTTAATTCCATTAGGTCGATGAAAGGGAACGCTGTGCTTCTCAGGACTGTGGTCCTTCAAAGTGTTGGTGCAAACAGCGTCACAGAATGGACATCTTTCCCAGCAGCAGTTACACAGCTGATCAATCAGGATCTGATCAGGTTTCTGTCTGCAGTCATTCACCTTTTCCAGGGAGAGTTCGCTCATCTCTGTTGTGATGCTTTCCAGGCCTTTCTCTATCTCTTCTTTAAGGAAGTCAAAATTGTTTATGTCACTGAAGTTTTGACAACTAACAGTATCAAGTATCAACTTTGGTTTTAGTTTTCTAGAAAATTCCTCCACCCACATTTCTATGTTTCCTTTTTTCTTTTTGACTTCATCTGTTGCCTCAAACAAAGCCTGACTGATGACTCTGCTGATTTCTTCTACATTTTTCTTCAGGATATTCTGGGCTTTAACTTTCTGTGTCGTGAACATGTATTTCTTTACTTCTTCTTCAATGAAAGCTTCTACTTGATTTCTTGGATTTTGTATGTAGGAGATGAATCTGTTAAAGTCTTCTTTCTCTGCCAGAGATGCCAACACATTTTTCTCTAAATTCAGTCTGTTCCCATTGAATGCTGGGAAACTGCACTTCATCTCTCCAGCAATATCAACTCCAGTCTTGTTACAGACGGCTTCAACAGCAGAGACTTTGAGTTTTTCACACATAATTTCTCCAAACACCACAGCAGATGAACTTCCTTTGCAGAAGCTTCTGAAAATGTTGTAATATTCATTTTTCTTGATGTCCAAATAAGCAAGAGAATCATTTTTCTCTCTGTAGATCTTGTGGGAGTTTATAATCCAACCTTCAGCCCTATCAAACACATGCAGTGAAAGATCAACTGTAAACTCCTTCCTGAATGTAAATTTCTTCCTTGATTCAAAGTCTTTCACTCTTTGTTTGACAGTTTTGGCAAGTTCCTGCAAGTAGGTTGACCTGTAACCTCTTGTTGCAACAGGTTTGCTCTTAATGGCCTCAAGACATTCTTGTTCAACCTTATTTATGAATGATCTTATATGTTCCTGTTCTTTATGTGAAAAATCACCTATTTGTATTGTTGAATGTAAAACTCTCATATTCCTCTTTGCAGTTACGTAATGAGAATAAACTCCAGTATTTGATAGATTTTTGTATCTCTCACTTCTTTTTGACTCATCAATGAGTCCACGTTCAACACCAAGTTCTTGAAGGACAACTAGCTGATCTTTCTCCAAGTTTATGTTCTCGATGGGTTTTGTATCAGAGGTTAATTCCTTAACCCAGTGACTCCAAACATCGTTGAACTGTGCTTCTAGTTTCTCTTCATCATCAATGCATTTTAAGTGGTGAGCGAGCTCTTTGCTCTTCTGGAGTAGATTGTTTTCAAACTCTGTCTTTTTGTTGTCAAGCTTTTTTCTAGCATTGTTCTGCTCAATAACTTCATCCAGTTTTCTTTTCACTCCTCTCACAAGTTCTTCATGAAACTCTTTGATTTTGTTCTCAAATTGGCCCCGCCACTGAACCAACAACTCTTTGTCTTTGTCATCTTCAAAGTAATCTGACATACTTTTTGTTACTTCTTCATATGTTTCACTCATTTCTTTATTAAGGTAACTGAGCTCAACTTTGTCCAGTTGGCCTTTTTCAATTCTAGGATAAAGTTGGTTTTCAATGTTCAGCATCTCACTCCTCAGGGCCCAAGTCCAGTTCCTGTACTGGACCTCCAGTTTTCTGTAAACTGCAATTTCTTGGGTGTTTTTGAAACTAAAAACAAAGTGTTCATTCATCAAGGCGTCCCACAGGTCTTGGATTTTGTTGTTGAAATGTGACAGAGTGATCCCAGTAGACTGTTTGGCTTTAGACAAGATGATGGACTTCAGTTCTTGGACACTTTCACTGTAACCTGGATTTGGAGGAGCCATTGGTGGACTTCCCTCCCACAGCTGAGCAAAATATTTCACATCTTTTTGCACATCAAATGTGATGACATCACTGAAGCACTCAACATCACACACTTCCTCTTGGGCAGCAAGTTGAGCCATCTTGTCCAGTTTCTCCTGCAGGCGTCTCTTTCCGTCCATGTTTTTCTCTGCTGCTGTAATATCTGTGACGTTCTGATGGACAAACACACAACTTGGAGAAAGCTTGACTTTCTTCATCCTCATGAAAGCCTGCACAACAATCTGTAGGACATCTTGCATCTCAGCTGGATTCTCACCAAAGATGTTGATCAATGTCATGTTTCCCAGACCAACAACAAATGTTGCAAGTTCATTGTCATGATGAAGGGTAGCATTACCTGCTAACTCAAGAGCTCGCAGTCCTTCAGTGTCTACAACTAGAATGTAGTCAAACTGGTAGTTGTCCTTGATTTCCTCTGACAGTTTAACCAGTTGCATGTAGGCACCCTTGGTGCATCTCCCAGCACTGACTGCAAACTGCAGGCCAAACATGGCGTTCAGCATCGTTGACTTTCCACTACTTTGTACACCCAGAACTGACAGCACAAAGACTCTCTGGTCACCAAGTTTCTTTATGACGTTCTGTAAGAGACTAGAGATCCATTTTAAAGGCACATGGCCTGCATCCCCATCCATCAGCTCCATTGGGTGTCCTGATATCATCAGATCTGCAGCAAGCTCAGGGTATTTAGTCCAATCAGGCTTTTGGCCCTGTGATAGTTTATTCAGTGTTTTATGAGCTTCATAGATCTGTCCCATCTCTCTGAAGATGTGTTCCAGACCAAATGTTGCTGATTGAAGCTTTTTTGACAACTGTTCAAGCTCAGTTTGTTTTTGTTTTAATTGAGCAGATTTATCATGATTCCTCTTTAGATCTAAGACCTCTGACCAGGTTGCATTATAATTTTGAAGAACTAAAGAGACACTGTTTGTGGAGAGAGCATCAATTAAGACCTGAGTCCATGTCAGGAAATATTTTTTTTCCTCTGACGTCAAACAGGCAAGAATGAACTTAGTGAACGAATCTGCCAGTGACCTGGTGCAAGCAGATTGTTTCTGTCGTAGCTCCATAAGTTGCTCATCCTTTTGAGCTCTTTCCTTCTCTATTTGTCCTTTCAGATGGTAAGTTTCTTTTTTGATTTTACACCAATCATGCCACAGCTGGCCTTGACAAGGGAGAAATTTATCTTTGATTTCAGAAACATCCATTTCTTTAAAACTTTCTACTATTTCCATGAAAGCATTTTTGCCTTTCTTGCAGACTTCCTCATCTTCGTCCACTGTGATTTTAGAAACTTTGGCCATAGATTCAAGTTGGAAAGATTTGTCTGATCCAGACAAAAGTTTTTGAATAATTTCTTTTAATTGATCCGAAATATCTGCATAGTTTTTACCATTCAGACCCATTTGGTATTTTCCATGTTTTATTACTCTGGCACCACAGCTATCATCAGCAATGAGGCAAATAAGGGATTTTCTAGACTTCATAAGCTCAAGTACAACTTTCCAGTTTTCATCCTTATTGTTCAGAGTTGGTACAAGAACAACAATGACTGAAGACATTTCAGTCAGGATTTCACGCTGTTTTCCATTTTCTAGAGAATCCCCATGAAGATTACAGAAGGCAATGCAGTCAGTAAAGAAATCATTGTCTTTTCCAGCAGGGCAGTACCAGGCAATCTCTGCCACCCCATCCATCAAATGACGAGATTTGGTGCTGCCTCGACAGTTTCTGTGGAAGAATGTGTTGTGGCGGTCGTTGATCAAGGCATTCATCAGCTGAGATTTGGACAAAGACATGGAGCCCAGTCGAAAAAATGAAACCATGGGAGTCTGAGCTTTGTAGATTGGCATGCTCTTCATGGTGACAGTTTTTACATTTCCTTTCATTTCAGTTTTCTTCCATGTTTTAATTATTTGTCTAAATGTCCACAGAGGACACTCAATTTTATCTGTATTGATGTCAGGAACAAGCAGTGGTAAGGCATACTGACACTCTGCCAGCTTTGTGATCATTTTCTGTTTAAGGAAGCTGTCTGAGCAGTGAAATACTGCCATTTGAACATCCATTGGGTGAATATGAGATGGATCTGTTTCATCAATGTTTGCACTATTCTTCATTAGTTGGTACATGTCATTTTCTTCAGTGTCACAGTTATCAGAGCCGGGAACAGATTGTAAATTTCTCACATCAGGGCTAGATTGTTGTACCAGGATATATCTAGCTTTATAATCTAACATCATCAACCTCTGTAGAAAAACACGAGCTAGATCTTTCTCTGATGTGGTATCACACTGTTTCACAGGAAGACCTATTTTAAGAAGGTCTGTAAGCAACAACTTCTCACATTTATCCTGAAGATCAAGTCGTCTGAGCAGTGTTTCGATTTCTTTTAAATATCTTGTCCTCTTTTGTTCAAAAGTGTTGTCTGTCTGCTGTTGATAAATAAAATAATGAATTCAATAATCAATCACACAATTAATTAATTAATTAAAGCTACTAACCTTATATTCCTTTTCAATGAGATTCACATCATAGGTGCCTGCAGAACCACAATGACATTTAGATTCATCAAAAAGATTAATATTCCTTTGCAATATTCACATTAATAGTTGCTTGGTTGAAAAGTGAGACACTTAATTGGTAGCATGGTTGCCTTTCAGCGAGAATGTTCTGGGTTTGAAACCCAACCTGTGCTCTTTCTGCATGGAGTTTGCATGTTCTCCCCTTGCATGCATGAGTTCTCTCCATGTAAGCAGCCTCCCAACCACAATTTAAAAATTTGCTTGTTTAGTTAACTGGTCTTTCTGTTACCCTTAGGTATGAATATCTTCTAATCTATTTCAGAGTGAGAGGTAGTAAACATAAGTAAGACATTTGACATGGCAAGTTTAGTCAGTACGATTGTATTTGAGGTTCTGGTACGTGTTTTCATCTTGCAATTCTTGAGATTCTAGGTTGTAGTGACATATGCCTTTTTTCTGTTTCTTTTAGTAGTTCCAACATCTAATTTCGATGTTGAAATTTCACCTATATTTAGACAAAGAAATACTGATTGGTCTAGGGCTTAATCTAAAAAACGTAGGTGAGATATTTGAGAAAGGAAGTCATTAATGTTATAGGAATTAAACTAAAACCATGACTGTTACACATGGTCCTGAAGATCAAAGACCATGGCCATGATCTTCAGCACATCTGTATTAACCAGACAAACTGCTTATCTGGTTAATACCGAGCCCTAACGGGACAATGAAGGAAAAATAACTAAATTAATGTTCTCATGCACACCACATGCTGTCTTTTGAGCACCAGATACTATCATGTGAGAATGAGGTATTTTTTTGTGCACATCAGATAAGTCATAGAATCTCTCAGATTATTTCAGACAAACCATGTTTACACCATATCAGGGTGGAGGGGTTTGAGTGTCAAAATGATCCTAAGAGTTTTGCAGTTAGGGGCTTTGTGCCCCTAGTAGGGACACTCATTGCAGAGAGGCCATAGGAGGGAGATCAGACAAAGTGCACCCCAAAGACCCCTTATGATGAGTGCAATCAATGGAAACAGTGTTTCCTCACCCAGACATGGGAAGTGGTACATCACCAACACTATTTATTGTGAGGGTGTTGTGCAGAATACTTTGAAGATCTCCTCAATCCCACCAGCACATCTTCCACTGAGGACGCAGAGCCTGGGGACATTGGGCTGAGATCTGTAATCTCATTGGCATTATGGCCATAATGACATAATGCATTTTGGCCATATTATGCCTCAAATTATTAACTGCATCTGATGCATCCTCTCCTTCTTTAAGGTGATAGATAACATGGTTGTTTACTGTTATGCAAACTCCTGGTCCTGGTTTTTGATAATATTTAGTTTGCATTTGTATGGGTGTATAAGTGTGAATTCGTGTGTGGCCTTGTATTTTATATGGTGTAAGGTCCCTTTTTCCAACAAATACTACAATGTGAAGACAGATTATTCTTTACAGGGCCCAAAGCCTGGGCCCCATAAGAAGAGGAACTTCTTTTGGATTGTGGGTTAGGTTTAGGACTACAGTATGAAGTGAGTGTAGGTTAGGTTTAGGTCAGGGTTGGGATATAGAAAAAAATGTGAAATTAATGGAAGTCAGTGCAAAGTGTCTGTGAAGACAGAAAAAATACTTTGTGTGTGTGTTTGTGCACCCGCGTGTATGTGCACGCACACAAGCAATGGTGTAGAAGTAAGCACCTTTGCGTCGAGTGGGTGTATGTGGTGGTGTCCCAATACCGGTATCGGGGTGCAACAGTCTGTTCAGTTTTGATAAGCATGTTGTACTGATTTCTTCAGATTGGTACTGTGAAAGCATGGTTCCTCTAGTTGTACCTCATTTCTCTCCCTCAGAAAACACTGACAAGCATAATCTCCAGATTTCAGGTGATATGCTAACTTTGGTAATATTTGATCAATGCTTTCTCTTGTGGCTGTGGATTTCTGACATATAAATTCTGGGTTTAAACTTTTTTTTAGGGAAAAGTATCAAGCGTATGACAATAATTTGCATAGTCTTACCTGTTTGTAATGTATCATCAGGATTGGCTTCTTTTCCTCCAGTCATCCGTCTATCTTCAGAGACCATGTCATTTATTTTTTTCAAAAGAGCTATTATCTCCTTTTCATCCATCATACTTCTTG